TCGGAGTACTCACTCCCATACTCTCTCAATCTCTCTGTATATCTACAAGAATTTTTATAGAAGACAAGTCTGAGTGAAAAATAACAATAATAAACAAGAAAAATCCATCTACACCAGAAATTTTTTTTTAAAAAAAAAGAAAGCGAAAAAAGAAGGAATCTAACAAGAAGAACGCAACCCATGAACTTTGGAAGTATTAATCGTCAAACCCATAACTTCAAAATTCAAATACAAAACACAGATTTAAAAACATATTTGCATACTGCAAATACTGTACATGCAAGTTACAGTATGTCTCCAACAACAGAGAGTGATACCGAGCCAACACGCATGTCTTTGAGACGCCACCCAGAAAATTCAAGGGAAAATAACGGAAGGAAAGAAGAAACAAACAGAAACATGTCCGTGCAAATCATAGAAATGGCGAGACAGAGATGGAGAGCGACCTGGGCCATGGGCTGAGAGGGAGCAAGGAGGGTCCCAACAGCATCGACAAACAGTGCCTTGTGGGTGATTTCACCGTAGAGAGACCTCCTGTAATCCAAGTAATCCTTCACTGCGAGCATCTCCAGCCCGATATGGCGCGAGCTTGCCGCATCTGGTTCTGAAACAGCTAGTGCGGAGGAAGAAGAGAAATGACGGGAGCGAGAGTAATCACAATATCCAAGCGGGTCGGAGCCAATGGAGGTGGATACGGATCTGGGGGCTACTCGGGATTTGCCACTGAGAGAACACAAGAGAAGCCTAGAGAGCCTGGTTCTTGTAGCCATTAGAGCCATGCTCTCTCTCTCTCTCTCTCTCTCTCTCTCACAGTTTCGGCTCTGCTCTTCCTGAACTCCTATATTTTGTTCCCTCTTGTGTATTATATAATTAATGGCAAAAATGTCACCTTCTTCTGTAAATAATATTGAAAGAAGTGTTCAATTACATTACCTACAATGCCCTTAAACAATAGACAATATAACTATTATGCCCTCCACAATGTAATATTTGTTTTATATAAAATTAACAACCTTATTTAGAAAAATTACACATTTAATTGTTAATTTATAGAATGATTTCTTTACAATAGCGTTTTAAATACGTTAGACTAATAACAATCAGCAGGGTAAGGGAAGAGCCGTTGCGGAGATGAATGGCAGTATTGTAAATAAATCGGAGATGGTGTCGTTTCTAGTACAAGAATAATCAGCTGTTGTTGCACTGCAGGGAAGAAGACGAAGTCTAAGAGGAACACGAAACAGATGACAAAGGCAGTTAAAATCCACGTCACCGAATTCTCCAATGAAAACCTAACCACTCTCTCTCCTTCGTGTGGGCCCCACTCTCTCCCCCATTACTTGGATTTCGTCTTTTTGCGGTGGTCAAGCGTTTAATGTGCACTAAAAAATAAATGATAATAATAATAGAATAAAATAAACTGAAAATATAAATAAATAAATAAATGAAATGATATAATATAAAGTTTTAATTGTATAAGAATATAATATAATGATTTTTTTAATAAATAAATAAAATGATAATATTGATATAATATAATAAAAAAATTAAAAAAAATTAAATAGATGATCAGAAGCATTTATAGGTCTAGACATTTAAGTTTTAATTCAACAGAACATGATCAGAAGCAAAATTCAATTTCTTTAAAAAATAAAATAAAATATCTAAGTAAACATCATCTATGATTTATATAATTGAAGTATGTATATTGTTATTTATTCATAAATTTTTATTAAAATTAATTACAATTTATAAATTGCGTACAATTAAACTAACTTCATTCACATTTTTAATTTTATAAATAATATATTTTATGATAAAGAATTACATAAATTATTTTGAAACTAAAATATTATTTTTATTTAAATTTTTTATTAAAGTTAATATATCTTTTTATTTATATTTTAGAAATTTAGAATTAAAGTTGAAATAATATGATTTTTTAATAAGTATGTTTATGAAAACGAAATCGTTTTTAAAATGGCATATGTAATTAAATATTAAATTAATAATCCCCATAATTAGTTGATTGTTGGATTGTACATGGAAGGGTTTGGCGTCTTTATCTGAGATTTTGACGTCTGATTTTTATAGTATTATCACAATTAATTTAATTAATTAGTGTGTTAACTTTTTTAATTAGTGGTGTAAAGCAAGTTATATTATAAAACGACCTTGAAATTTGTCTTATAAGTTATGTCGTTGAATAGTGACGTGAAATAATCTTCTTCTTCTCGACCAATCCGAACGACTGTTACATGCAACAACATTATTGAATATTAAATCTGGTTTCATTATTTTGCTATTTAATTAATTAGAGATATGTCAATATCCCTCATACGTATACAATAACAAATTAATATGTTTTGTAATAATTTAAATTAATTTATTTTTATATTGTTAGATATTTTAATTTTGGTACTTACCCATATCAAAAATTACATACTATATTGTATTTAAAAAATTAATATTCTCAATGTAAAAAAATATTGATTCAAATATATTGTAATATCCATATTTAAAATTTAATTCAAAATTAATTTTAACGTTTTAAAATGTATAAAAATTTATTTTTTGAAATTAATAAATTTTAATTTAATGTAAAATTATAGAAAAAAAATATGTTATGGATGAAATTGAAAATAATTTTGAAAAAAATGAGTGAAAATTTGAGATCCTATGATTTTTTTTTGAAAAAAATCAAAAACTAGACATTAGAGCACAGTTTTAAAAAATTACACCACGTACGATTGTCCAGTCAGCAGCTTCAACGAACCGAAGCGCACCGCGTGGCAAGGCACGCTGACTCGATGCCACATGGGAAGCCACACTGGCGATCCGCGTGCCCCGCGATCTGACGGTCCAAAAGCGTTCCCGCGCGCGAGGACGGTTCGAATCCGTTCCCTCCTCACGCATGATCAGACGATCGTGATTAATGTGATGACGATCCATATTCGTTTTT